GTAATTTTTATTCAATGTCTAAATTATAAATTGATCTCACTTTACCTGAAACTTAAATAGCAAATTCTGACAGCACCATACAGAAATCTTGAGGAAGAATATATTGCTATTAGCATATAAATCTCACTTTTCCATTACCATTGCAAGTTTTTTTGTTGATGTTGTTGTTTGCCTTTCAATTTTCTATGATAAAAACTAATCTAACGAAGGCAAAAGAGAGATCTACAATCAAGCAGTAAGACAGTATTGGTTATTCAACAATTTATAGTATTAATAAGATTACAGTCCTATCATCATATACTGTATCTGAAAAACAATGAAACCAATTTGTGGTAGTACAGCTTTGCACTGAAAGTTATCTGTACTTCTTATCAACATCACATTCAGACCTTTGTTTCCCCAAGATGCTCTCTCGTACAGATTGCAGTAATGCCATGCTTTCTTCCAAACGAACGTTAAGTAAAATAATACAAGAGAATATCAACATGTATGAAGATTTAAGGAGAAGTTGCCAAATGTTATAGTAATGAACATGCAACAGTTTTCTAACAACCAGTTCTCACTGCATGCTGTAATAAATTATGGGAAAGAGCCAAGGTAAGCACTTTTGTCAAAGAGACAAAGTGCCCCTTTGAAAAAGGCAAAAAACAGAACAAAAGAAAAACAACCCAAACCCTCACAGCAGAAAATCCTTCACAGAAGCTAAGTTCAGGATGTTTACCTTTGAGCTTTTTTTTTTTTTTTTACATTTCATACTCATGCTCAGTAGGATAGCAAGATATATTAAAAATTGGCCGAAAATAAGCTGTTATGTAAATGCCACACAACATCCTGTTGTAACAAAATGTTCAGACTTTTCAATAGGTGCTCTCCTTTGTTTCTTTTGTGTCTTTGCATTCTGTGTAATAATTACTTAATAGACTCAGGTTACTATAAGCAGGAAATGAGACTTTGAACTTCCCCCTCCCCCTGCCCATGAACATGCCAGCTTCCATTGATAGCATTTGCTAAGGCTTGGAAATCTCAATGTTGTATAGACCAAAAAAGGGGTATGGTATTTTACCAAAAGCCTGGAAGCAATGGGATGAAAAATACTGGGATCCAGTCCCTCAAAGTCTCAACATTTTCACACTTCTGTGCCAGCTTCAGATTTGAAAAATAGTCAGATAAACTCAAGAAAATCTCTAAATATATTCCTCCCCATTGCAATTTTTTTTTTTAAAATAAAAAACACGGAAGAAGACAGATGAAGCAAACGTCCCTCCATTCTCATTTCTACCATGTCAGGTGATATCAGCCCTTCGAGGTAGTCCAGACAGGACACCAAAACCATGAGTACTAATACTAACTTTATTGTATGGTTGCAGTAACAGAATCTTGCAAGTCTAAAAGCACTTCCCCCCTCCCCTGCTTTTACGTTCCAGAGAACTATGGAGGGTCCCTTCCAAGACGCTTTCTCCACTCCCATCCCTCCTTTGGATTCAGATTTCTCTTATCAGACTGTTGTCTAGGCTGCAGCTCTTCCTCCTGTCTCCTAAGGTTATTCTCACATCCCATTACATCTGGTAACCAACTGAGCAATAGAAACACTGGACATTTTGTACTCCGTTAGGTTTTATAATAGTTTTTTTTAAAACCATCATTTCGTTTAGCCCTCTAAAATCCAACACAAAACAGATGGGGGATGGGTGGATGGAAACAAACAAATTCAGGCAGGTGAGTTGAATTATCTTGCATTATTTTCATGGTTCTTCCATGCCCATTATACAAAACCATCATTACAAGTAACATGCTTTTGCACTGACATCAGGTCCAAAGCCTGATTAGAATTCAATCAAATACAGGAGAATTTACGATGTATGGAGTAGCTATTAGCCTTTGTTAATCCACAGCCAAATTAATATTCACAAAAACCTTTACTGTACTATAGCTGATGTTCTGAACAATTTAAACAACTTATGTAGTCTCAAGGAACAACTAAGTCCTTAAAAATTAGCATTCCATCTATTCCTTCAATCAAAGATTTCACTAGGAAAATAAATTTCTAATATACTAGGAGAAAGGTTTCACTGCCACCTGCTGGCTTTGATAGCTAATATCTGTGTAACCTATCTAAGTAAGGAAATAACTGCGTTGCGCCTGAAGAATTTCAGAAATGGCACTTTAAACGGCACTCGTGACACTTGGATGGTAATGTTTGGTGGTATGTTCAAAGGTATACACTCATCAAGTGTTCATTCTCTTTCTGATTAG